GAATTTGCCTGTTCTTGGCTGTTTCTTTTCGTGTTTTGGATTTGATGAGAACTGCGATCCTTATCTGTAAAGCAGGAAGGATGATGGTTCCTCCCTTGCAGGGTTCCTGTGAGGGTTAAAGACCCCGCAAGCCCCCTCCCGTGATTGGCACACAGGTGCATGCAAGCGTGGAGGTGGCTGAGATGGGGGCTGCTGAGCGCCCCCCCCAGGTGAGACAGACCTGGGGGAGCTCTGTCCCATGTCAGCCCTGCCCTCACCACTCTCCCTCCTTCCTTGCAGACCCCACCATTGGGCACCAGGAGTCCGCCACTCTCTCTCCAGCCTTTCATGCTCCCTCCGCAGAAGTGACTGTGGAGCCAACGCTCAGACCAAGTACATCCCTGTTTTCTGTTCTGTGTGGGTGCTTTGGACCTGTTCTTGGCTGGGTCCCGGGGTCTCCAGGGCCTGCGCGGTGGAGAGGTCGCCTGCAGGCGGAAGCGCGGGGCGGCCCCATGGGATCCTCCCTGAAGAGGATTTTCCAGCCCGCCCCCCAGCCCCCTGCAGGGCCAGCTGGGTTTGGAGAAGGGGGACTCCATCACCATCAACCTCCCTGCTTGAACTGGGCCACTAACTTGCAGCTCCAGAGCCAGGAGGCTCCAGAGAGGCTGTGTGGCCCCCCGCACAGTGATGAGGGCCAGCCTGGGAGACTGAGGGGAAGACGCTGGGCGGTGCTCCCCAGAAGTCATCAGAGAGGCCTTTGAGGTTTGGCATCCAGAGAGGGAAGCGCAGGAGAGGTGCCTGTTGAATCCCTTGTGATTTCGGGCTCCTCTGGGTGGAGAGAAGTTGTGGGATGAGTTGTTGGGACTATGGGGGGACATGTTGGGAATGACAGATTGCATTCCTATAGCATTTTTAAATTCTGGAAACATCTTCACAGCTATTACCTCATTTTGCTTCCCAAGAGTTCTGAAGCTAAGTAGGGTAACTGAGGGTAAAACACAGTTCTCCTTGCTTCGTTCCAGATCCATCCGTCTGACAAAGGCATTATTGCCTTTGCTGAGGACACAGAGAAGTTAGGGGATTTATATTCTGGGGACACAAAGTAAAATCAGGGGCTCCTCTGGAGGAGCCCAAGGCCCCAACAGTTGGTGTTCTGTGTCTAGGCACAGGCATGGTGGGAACACAGGAGGGGCGTGTCCCAGTCCCCTGTGATGATCTGGATTTCCTGGAGGAGGTGATTGTGTACCTGTTTAGGACGGCGAGGAGGAGTTAGCTCGCAAAGGGGAGTGGGGTGCTTAAGGCTGAGTGGAGACACCCTGGTCCTGCAGGGGAACCCTCTGTGAGCTGCAAAGGAACGTGGCCTCACCCTGAAGGCAACAGCGCCAGGGCTGGGCCAGCGATCAGATTTGGCTCAGAAACTGGGTGAGATCCTGTCATCTGCTTCCCATCTAAGATCTAGCCTGGCCCCTGCCTGGCTGCCCCGGACCCGACTGGGCGGGCAGGGCCAGGCGTGGAAGAACAGGAGGGCGCGGCAGGGCCCAGGAGCCGAGGCCGGCGACGGCTTCCCCACTCCGCGACGTGCCCGGCGGGCCCGGTTGGGGCGCAGCGCGCGTCCCGCCTCGGCCGCTGGACGCCACCCGTCGGCGTCCTCGGCCCGCGGCCCCGGCCTTGGCAGGGGTCGCCGGGCGCAGGGGCCCCGTCGCGAGCCTTCGCTCCTGCCACACGGACCAGCGCCCAGAGCCCCGCCGAGCTCGCCCCCCCCCGCCCCCCCTGCGGGCCCCGCGGCTCCCCAGCCCCGGGGGACCACCGCCGCCCCGGAGACTCCTAGCCCCGCGAGGAAGAGCCCGGCCCCTGCGGGTAACTGTGCTCGCCGCCGAGCCCGCCTGGCCCTCCGGGGACGCTCTCTGTCCTGCAGCCCGGGCCCGTGGGGCCGCTCCGGCCTCCGCTTCGAGCCCTGCCCTGGTCCACGCGTCCCCGGGTGGGGGGGGCGTCACCCAGGGTGGGGGCGCCTCCCAGCCTCTCCCGGGAGCTCCCCGGGGACCGAAGAGAGCGCCCCGAAGCCTTCGGACGGACGCCGGGGAGACCCCTGGGAGCTGGCCAGGGCCCGACACAGGTGCCCGCCCGCGTCGCTGCCGGTTGGGGACGCCACACCGGCCGGACCCCCAGCGCCTGGCTCCTCCTGGGGGTGACGGAGCCCTGGGCTCCACCCGCAGGCTGCAGGCAGGAGGCTGAGGGCAGGGGCTGTGTGCTGGGTTAGGTTCAGGTGATGAGACCATGAATGTTCTCCGGTTCCGTGTTTCTGGATTTTAAGGACAGTGCTTTGGGTGGGGAGAGAGGGGGGCATTTGGAGGGGAGAGGCAGGAAGGACACGTGGGGGCAAAGGCTGTTGCACTGGCTGGGACGCAGGACTGAGGCCAGGGGTAGGCCAGCAGCGAGGAGGGCCGCGAGGGAATTGGTTTTACCTCCTGTACAAGTGACAGTAATTGAAGAAACAGAAATACACATTTTTAAAAAGGTTCAGCTTTGTTCATTGAATCACAGAAATACAAACTAAAAGCAAGATGCATTTTTAAAATAATTTTTTGGGGGAGTGGGAGGGGGAGCGGCAGAGGGAGAGAGAGAGACTCTTAAAGCAGGTTCCATGCCCAGCGCGGAGCCCAACCTGGGGCTCGATCTCAAGACTCTGAGATCATGACCTGAGCTGAAATCAAGTTGGACGCTTAACTGACTCAGCCACGCAGGCACCCCTTAAAATAATATTTTTACTTACCAGTTTGGCAAAGATTTAAAGGGGTGATAATGCTGGTGCTAATGTGGGGAAATCAGCGATCCCAGACCCTGGACAGGAAAGTAGGGTGCTAGCCTTCTGGCAGCGTGTCAGTTCTGAGATGTGCAAACCCTTCCATACAGTCGTACTATTTTGGGGACTTTATTAAGAAACAATAGGGGCGCCTGGGTGGCTCAGTCGTTAAGCATCTGCCTTTGGCTCAGGTCATGATCTCAGGGTCCTGGGATCAAGCCCCGCATCGGGCTCCCTGCTCCGCGGGAAGCCTGCTTCTCCCTCTCCCACTCCCCCTGCTTGTGTTCCCTCTCTCGCTGTCTCTCTCAAATAAATAAAAATATATAAAAAAAAGAAAAAAGAAACAATAGTACAAGGCACACACATACCCACACACCCCGCACACAGAGCTGGTTATTGCAGTGAAGAACCGGAGGCAATTGAATGTCCACTGAAAGCAGGTGGGTTAAATACAGTATGGTACATTCAATGAAATACTGTGCAGCCTTTAAAAAGAAGAAAGTAGATCTTTACCCATTCAAATAAAAAACTCGAGTGTGTGAAGAATATTCTATAACAAACTGTTAACAGTGGTTGTCCCTGGGTCGGGGGAGGGGATACTTTTATTTCAGTATTTTACAATAATATACCACAAAAGCAATATGGTTATTTCCATATTTGGAAGGGAAAAAAATGACATCTGCAAGGCACTGACAGGACTTTGGTGACTGAACATGAGAGGGAGTAAGGGAGCCGCTGAGGGTACCTGGGGTCTCTGGGCCTCAGCAGAGGGGCAGCCACACAGGGGAGAGGAGGTTGCTGAGGGGAGGCTGCACTTGGTTTTGGAATACGTTGAGTTTGAAGTGCTACCTCTTATTTTTTTTTTTTAAGATTTTATTTATTTGAGAGAGAGCGAGAGCGGGAAGGAGCAGGGAGAGGGACAGAGGCAGAGGGAGAAGCAGACTCCCTGCTGAGCAGGGAGCCCAACACAGGACTCGATCCCAGGACCCTGAGATCATGACCTGAGCCAAAGGCAGACGCTTAACCGACTGAGCCACCCAGGCGCCCCAAAGTGCTACCTCTTGATGGAAACGTCGGGGGTCCCTGGCTGCCGTAGTGGGGTCTCTGTGAAGCTGGCAGACAACGTAAGGGCATCGGGCCCCCCTGGGGGCAGGGCCTACTGAAAGACAACATTTGCTGCTGGGAAGAATTCTCATAATGTTGCCCAATCCCCACACATCCTGGTGGCAGGGCCACTGAGAACGATGGGGTAGGAACTCGAACTCGAGGGCTGGGTGCGCGAGCCTGTGGGAGTAAGTCAGGGTGTGGCTGGGACTCAGCTTCCCCGACTGGCCGGTTTCTGCAGCAACTGTGCGTGGGGCAGTGGCTGCCCACGCCTGGCTTCTAGCTCAGGGGCTGGCCCCGGTCTCAGACCCCCTTTGCTCCTGAGACTCCTTCATTTTCCCCTCCAGTAGCTGTGGCCACTGAAGGAACTGGCAGCAATAGGAGAGACCCGGCCACGGCCGCTCAGGCCCAGCGTCTGAGCGCATCTAAACACCCAGCGTCTAAAGACACCACTGCAGCGCCTGCACCAGGTAACTGCCTCTGGTCACCGGGATCCCACTCTTCCCAGGGGAGCCATCCAATCTGGACAGCCACTCCTTAGCACAGGGCACCCGAGACCTTTTTATGACAGACGGCATGAAGTGTTGGGAAGGGAACGAGAACAGGAACAAGGTCGAGGAGCCTGGAGTTAGCTCCCAGAGTACTGCGAAAGCCTGGGGAGCAAACTCCCTCACTTTGTTCACCATCTCTTCTTCCTCATCTGCAAAAGAGGGACAGTGAAAACTCCCCGGCCCACGGCCCAGGCTTGTTGCAAGTGCCCACTGAGGTAATTATGCGAAGGTACTGTATACAGAATGCTGTGCAAATAGAAAGCCGTCCTGGCATGAGGCTGTCCTTCCTGTGATGAGGACAGTGGCTCACGGCCCAAGGCTGAGCTTGTTTATAGGCTCAGAGAACCCACTTAGGGTTTTCTGGGGGTAGAGTTGGCCTTTAAAATGTGGGGCCAGGGAGAGCTGAGTATTTCCAGCGTGGTGTGGAGTATCTACCTAATAGATTTGTTAAAAAGAAGGAAAATACAGGTGAGACAGAAAACATCGGCAGGCTCCTGCAGCCAGCCGGTGGCCAGGACGTGGGAGGGGAGCCGGCCTTACCCCACAGTGGCCTGAGGCTCTTTCCCATCAGCCACGGAACGGGCTGGGCAGCTTCTTTCCTCTTCCTTTTTGAAATCCGAAATCACCATGGAGCGTCTGCGGTATCCACCAGGGGCAATCCTGACTGCTAAGAACTTAGTTTCCAAATGGCAATAGGATCATTTTCCCCAAACCGGATAGCACTTTCTTTTCCAGGGCAACTCTTTGGAATCCTGAAAGCAGATTTTACCATCCCAGCTCTGATGGACCCAAAAGATATGAAAGACCAATTTTTGAGTGAGGTGAGACTTCAGACCACTTCTGATTTTGATCAGTCAGATGACTTTGACGATGCAAGGCAATATTGTGGGAACCAATATACCTAGAGAAAAAGCTCTGGAAAATTAGCTCCTCTGTTCCCATTGCCATCACTCTGGCTCAGGGTGACAGGTTGGTGCGTGTGCTGAGACTTTCAGATCTTTTTCTTAGTCTAACATTTTTTTTCCTGAGCTTTTTTTTTTTTTTTTTTTAAATCAAGATAGCATAGTCAGAAAGACCTGAATTGGGGTCTTGGCTTTCTACTTATTAGCTGTGTGACCTTGGACAAATAACCTTTCTGTATATCAGTTTCCTCATGAATTAGGGCCAACAAAATCAACCTCATATGGTTGGTATTATGATTAAGTGAAATATTCCATATAAAGTGCTTAGCAAGTTGGCACGTAGTAAGTGCTTGATAAACACAAACATTAACTGTTACTATCAATTATTATTGTTTTGGATATACATTTGTTCTAGGCTCCCCCTACCATCCTCTGTTCTTTTAAAGGATTATAAGGTAGGACATTTTGAATAGGAAGAATTGTTCCCAAATATTGCAACAGAAGCCTCAAACTGATTTTTGAATATGGCAAAAGGGCACATTTTTTAGTTATACCAGATAATAACCATAGATGTCAGAGCTAGAGGGTTCCTTATGGGTCATCTAACCAAATCATAATGTTACAGACAGGAAACAGTTTGGCATTTATCTGGTAGCTTACTGCAATTTATTCACAGGCCAAAGAAATAGCACCCAGGCAACTCGTTCTAAAACCTCACAAACTCAAGTGTCTGGAAAGAACAGTAGTGTGTGTGTGTGTGTGTGCACACACGCGTGTGTACGTGCACTGGCCTGCCGGGGACTGGGGAGAGGAACTAGAAAGTTCTCAGTGCATTTTGCTATTGAAAGAAGAACAGGTGCAAACGAGGCAATTCAACATCGGATAATTTTTTTAGTAGAAGTTCAAGTAATAAGACTGCAGTGCTCAGTAGAAGGTTTTCAAAAGTCAAGGACCCTTTTTTGGGGGGTGGGTGGGGGGAGCCAAACCAGAAATCATCTTCCTTCTGTTTTAGAGTAAAGCCAAAGTCAAACATCTTTGAATTCCATCTTTGTTAGGATGTCTCTATTCCCTGTTATTGGAGAGAAGTTCTACCTCACAGATTTAAAGGATGGAAAAGGTGGGGACGATGTGTGTCTGTGTGTAGGAAGGTAGAGCATATATTAGTTTTAGCAGCATTTTAAATTCCAAACAGAAGGCGAGGAAACACCTGGAGCCAACTTACCCCAGTTCCAGGGACAGGGACAGAGAAACATGGTGGCAGACACACAGCGCTCAGGGCTCACTATGGACCAGTGGTTGTTAACCCCAACTCAAGTTAGAATCCCCTGGGGAAGTGGAAAAAAGAGCTCAACCCCAATCCGTAGAGAGATATAGTTAGTTAATTGGTCAGTGGGGGAGCTCAAGAGGCATCCCCCCTCTTTTCTGATTTCAAAGTTCAGTAGTGATTCTGATTAACAGGATTGAGAAGCCCTGATTAAGTCCTTTGTTTTAGCCCCTTTGTCATCAGACTCCCCCTCCCCCCTTCCCCGGGGCCGCGGGGTGTGAGTGGTGGTGGCCATAGTGTCCTATAACCAAATTGATTTATGTACTTTCCCACTAGGGGAGCTGCTAAGGACAGAAGGCAGGCAGCTGGAGGCGGGGGGCTAAGAAAAATAAAGGACATGGCTGCACATAAAGGGTAGAGGTGGGCAGCTTAGGCCAGGAGGTCACAAGAAAGCAATGCAGTTTCTCTCTTTTTGATGTTTCAGATCCAAGAAGTCTTAAAGCTTACATTAGGTCATGGGCAATTCAGATTGAAATGGGTTGGCTTCCAAGCAAACAAGAAAGAGCCCACGTCGACTGATCTGGAGTCTCCTTCTCACACAATCTTCTCTGGATTTTGAGTGAATTTTAGTCTTTTCATTCCTGTACATTAGACTACACATTTGTTCCAGGCTTTTAGAAATAACTCCAGCTATATGAAGGGCTGACTGGTAGGATTTCAGACCTGTACCTCACACACAAGAATATTATGTAAGAGAAGAAAAATGGCCTTCCTGGATTTTATAGAAATAGGTAAGCAGAAGCAGATGGAAGAATTTGGGGACAGTAACCTGGAGAATGACAAGCAAACAAGAACACAAAACCCCAACGAAGCAACAAAAATCCTGACCCAAACCCCATTAATTAATCTACCTAGGGAATTAAGGGAGGACAGTAGTGGGCTGGCTGGGAAGCTAAGTGGGGCCACGCTTCCAAATGACGTGGAGGACACTTTCCTTCCGAGCGATGAGCTATTAAAGAGATTGCAAGTTCTTCAGAATGAGGAGCTCTCTAAGGGCATCATCACAATATAACATATTAATGCGAGCTGTCTGTCCTACTGCACGTAAATATTTTTTACTTGTCAATTGGGAAATTCTCTGACACATTGTTCTCAATGTTAAACTATTAACTTCAGAAAAAAAAATATAACCTCAGAAGAATGTTCCTGCATACATTTCCTTTCTGGTTTTTCTCCAAGTGTTCTACTCACCCAGATACATGCTAGCAATAAGGTAGTAAATATGTCAAATACATTAGCAACTTTAGTCTGAAATGTTTAAAGTTAAAGTTTATTTGTATTCTTTGTAGGAATATCAATAAAAGACCTCAAACGTATCTGTATCTCTACATGTACAAGAACCATCAAAAATTATTCACAGAACAAAAATAAATCTTCTTTAGAACAAACCCAGGTAATGAAATGCAGATATGGATCTCATGTATGGAACGATCTAAGTGCTACCAGCACAAAAATATGGCTTTAAAAATAAAATAAAATCTTGGGTTTTGTTTTTCTAAGGTGTATTTCTCTTTCTTGAAATAAAAAATAAATTATTTAGAGCTATCATTGTAAAATAGTCATGTGTATTAACACATTCTTATTAAGGCCCTGGAGATGAAAAACAGAATCAAATTTAGAAGGTAAATTCCTCACAGGTGTACTCAGGTTAGTGTGCTGCTGTCTGCTTGGGTTAATTTTAATGTCACAAGGAAATATCTAAGCACCAGTCAAAATTTAACCTTTACTATTTATTTCTACCTTTCTGCAGGTTAGTGGTCATTGAGTCAATTAGTATTTTAACCTTTTGGTGAACTGGGAACTGAAATTTCTCCCTTGGGAGTTTAGAAATGACATAAATACGATATTTATATGCCAACATTTGAACCCCTCCCACAGATGATGGAGGCCCCTAAAACACAGCTTCTGTGTTTTACAACAAGAGATAAACCTGGTTTTAGGTCCCAAACGAAAACACTTCCCAGTGGAACACGAGGGCATTTGAATGAAAAGGAAGAGAGGAGTAGGAAATGAAAACGCCGGCTGAGACACCGGCAGAACGACCACTTTGCTTTCCTGGGGTGGCTCGCTGTCTTTGCCAAGTCCTGCTGGCTTGGTTTCTCAAACACCTGAGGATTAACTGACCAGGAACCAAAGCTCCTTCTTTCTGGAACTTACTCTCAGATCAGTGATATTCAGCTTTCTTTCTATGAGCCACATGGTATCAATGACGATATCTAGGATTCTTGAGACAATGTCAGACCAAATCAATTTCAAGTCACTTTAACTTATATATACATATAACACATATGGTACATACATTTTAAAGAGGAACGAACCACAGTCATAACATCTAACAAATGAGAGCACAAAACCTAAAAAGCTCAAGAAAGTCTGGGAATCACTGTTCTGTAAGATGGACTAACATTCAGAAAAAGGAAGCCCTAGGAATTGTGTGTTTTGTGTGGCTGTGCATGTGCTGTCTCCAGAGACGGCCTTTCCACTTATCTATGTATTTTAAGATCAGGCAAAGGATATAAATCCTGTTTCCTCGAACCTCTGGGCTACTGAGACGGCTGCTGTCCCCTTTCGGATCATTTATCTTCACGTTCTTTCTCTCCTCATAAGATATTTATTCTGTCTCATGCAAATTTCATCACTTTTTTCTTTCCTAAACTCAAGAGAATTCATAACTGGGTCATGACAACAAGGGGATGCTTCTAGAACTAATAACAATCACTCGAACATGGAAAGAGATTCTATTTAAAAATTCAACACCCCAACATATCTTGCTTTTAAAAGACAGTAAAATAGGTTCTTCCAATTGACACATTGATAAGAACAAAGTATCCCAAATTCTTGGCTCTCAGGTAATGGGTAGGAAGGCAAAGATTTACTGTTGGGGCAAGCAGGCGATTTCACACGCGACTTGAGAAGGGAAAGGGGAATGGAGAAAGCAGGCCCTTTTGGTTTCCACAATCCGTGGGAGAAGGCGGCCCCCGTGGGTGTAGCTGACAGTGCGCTGAGGAGGTGGCACGGCCTCAGGAGCTGCTGGGCCAGGCCCAGTGACCAGTCTAGTCTGGTGTCCAGCCCAGAATGTTTCCCTGCCTAAGATGTTTCCAAACATTTTGGGCATTAAATCTTCCAGAGCTCCAGGTCACACGGGACTTAGGGAATCCCGAAGGGGGTTCCTTCCCCAAGTTCAGCCCCACAACCAGCCTTCTCAGGAGCTCCAAACTGGAGCTAACTAGAACTCAATCTCGGTGGAAGGCAAATACTAATGCAAACTCACTCGATGGCCACGGTCTTGCCCTGGGACGTCTGGAGAAGAACTGCTCCCTACCTGGGGCACCTCTGAGGACAGAGTGAGAGCCAGGGGCCAAAAGAACCACAGCTCCAAGAACAAAGGCTGAGGTTGACAAAGATCTGGAAAGCTCTACTTTTAAAGTCCAGCAAATTCTCAAGGTCATACAGCAGTCGGAGACAGAAACTCTTACTCTTTCCTTCACTGTCCAACACCATCACAGGGAAGGTCTCAGAGCAGATCAGAGAAAGCGACTTGTCACCATCTAGATACTGAGTGAAGACAACAAACAGCGAAGAAAGCATGATTAGCTCATTTTACCACAGTCTCTTCACGAACGGGCTGCCCTGGACCCCGATGGCTCCTCGGTGAGGGTGCCTGGGACACGGTGGGCGCTCAAGTGTCTGTTCTAGTTACCTGGATGCCATCTCCTAGGTCTCGGCTTATGTTGTTGAGACTTGGGGAACTCGAGGACCTGGTGGAAATGTCACTCTTTCTTCTGCTTTGGCCCAGAAAGCCTGTCGCTCCGGTGATATAAAAAGGGAGTATGGAAGCCCTTTCCTGAATTCCTAAATCCCACCCACATTGTCCTTGTCAATGGCCAAGCCTGGCTGTCAGCTTAGACGAGTGCTTCACAAGCACTTCCCCTGAACCCCAAATGCCAGCGGACCGCAGCCCGGAGGCAGCCTGCAATGTGGCGGATGTGTGGCTGAAGGGGGAGTGCGGCCATGGCAATCTTCACCCGCCCGCCTCACCTCAACCAGGCCCTCCTCTGGCCGAACATCTAGATGGAGTCTTCTGGGCTGAAGAAAAGCCGAACTAAGCAATACCTCCATAAAAATTACCAGCTGTTTGCTGCAGTCTTCTATACTTAAAAAATCTTTTGGAATAAGTTCTACAGATGACAGCTTCTCTAAAGAAATACTCAGAAAAATGTTTGGATAGGAACAGGCTCAAAGGATCATCGAAAATTTCTGAACTTCTGAACAATCTGAACTTCTAGCTGACTTCTGATTTTTTTTTTTTAACTCTTTTCTCTTCATTCAAGATAACCTGATAAGAGAGGGCTGCATCATGTTTCCAAACATTTTGGGCATTAAATCTTCCAGAGCAGGCAGCCCTCTAAGGGGCTCCCACAATGCCTCCAAGCTGGAGGCAGCCATCAAGCCATCACACGCACATTTGGTTTTTTGTGTCTCTCTCAAACCCCCAATATAGGTAAGCTGATCAGCCCTCTGTAATCCATAACCAACACTTTGAACTTGCAAACCTCAATGCAAGACATCTCCCGAGTTACATACTTAAGGCCACTGAGACTGACACTTCTTTTACCAGGTTTTCTGCGGCACAATGGAAGGCTTTACAAAGAACAGATTAAAAGGGACTGGAGCTGAGAATAGCTCTAAACGAGGACACCTACATTTACATTCCCCACCCCACCCCCCCACCGCCGCCCAAGCCAACACAGGGCACACCTTCAGAATTAGTAAAGTTGTTTTCCTAGTAAAGTGATTTTGACCACAGTGTGCCCTAAGCTTCGAGGGAGGAGGTCAGAATTTGTAAAACAACTGCCAGGTGTCAAGAAATGAACCAAGTGCCCAATATCCGAGGGCACGAAAACCGTAGATCAGATAAGTAGAAGGAATAGCCCTGATTTACAGCTCTGACCGGCAGAGACGAGAAGATTATGAACGGAAATGTTTTAAAAGGTTGGGGGCCATCAGAAGGTTGCTGAGATGCAAGGTCCAACACAGAGATCCACCTGGAAGAGGGGAGGGCTCAAGAGGTCCAAGCGAAAGCCAGGGGTGCCTCGAGAGGGAGGCTATTCACAGATGTCGAGGCTGGGCCTCACCCAGCAGAGGACCCGATAAATGTCCTCCTGTTTCCTTATAATACTCTCTTCAGTAGAAACACTCACTCCGTGCATAGGGCTCCCTCGGGTCTTTGTTTTTTCCCTCTCCCTTTTTCCTTTTCTTTTTAAAAAATTTCCTTAAAGTTTATAATTTAAAATAAACATCCTTAACATTTGAGAAATGTTGTTGCTTTCTCAGGATAAAGAGCTGCTTAGATCTTGCTTAAAGAGATTCAAAACCCTTTTAACGTTATATCTGACAGCAGAGAAGGCATGAACTTTTCCTATTTGTGCAGTTTTATGTACATATGTGTGAGTATATATGTATATATATTTGTATATATAATGTGTTTTAACACATAACATTCCATACTTCTGATAATCAAGTTCGCATTCAAGATGACATTTCACACCTCTGGAAAAAAGGAAGTAAATTAGCTTCCACGACGGTTTCTGTCCTACAATAAAGCCAAGGATGACAGTCGGTGAAATGGAGTGATTATTGCCAAATCTATGAAGAACATGGGAGTAATGACTGGAATGCATGGTCCTTGCACTTTTAATTTTCTTTGTTTATAAGCAGAATCATGACTTCTGGATTTCCTTTCTAAATTTTAGTGAGGGAATTAGAAGAAGCCATTTCAAAGCTAAAGACTGAGATAAAATTACCCTGCCCGGAGATTTACTAGTACAATGGATAAAATCTTTATCCCAAACAAAAATTGTTAAGTTACACATAGAAAAGTTTTTTTTTTTTTTTTTAATAGGAAATATTCAGAGATTCCTGCTATGGTATGGTTAGCCCTTTTCTGTGTGGAAGAAAGGGTGTTTATTTTGGATGGATTATGGACAGCATATTTGAACAATCTCTCCAGGGGAGAGTGAACCCTGTTGGTGAAGACTGCTCCCACCAGGGGTTTGGAAAGGGCAGTGAGTGTGTGAAGATGAAGATGGTATGCAGAGACACAAATATTTATAGTTCTGTAAACTCTAAAGAGGAAAAAGAACACCCTTTATTACAACTGGGGTTAAAAAAAGCCCCCTATCTAAAATGGAAAATTCCCATCTGCTCTAGACAGAAGGAAATGAACATCAACAGTTCAATAGAAACCACTCCTAAAGTCCAGTTTTGATGCAACAGCTCTTATCTGTGTCTTCTGAAACAGTGTATTCCCAAATTACATCAGCTGTCCATTCAGAACCAGTCTCGGTTGATCAATGGGATCAATTGTTTTGGTTGGTTCTTGGTATTTGCATGTTCTCCTAATGGACAAGGGGGCCGGAGTGGGGTTTTTAGACTGGCAGATGAATCCCTGAAAAATTCATTCTGACGATGTCCTATTGCACTCCACGT